GTGGTATTTTTCAACCAATGCAACCTTGCAAATGAAAACAACAAATCTCCTTGCTTTTGAATACACATTGAATATGCTTAATTACGCCCATGGCTCCCTCCATAATAAAACCAGCTATTTTTCACCTAAATTATTCATTGTTTGTAAAAGACGCATCTTTGTTGTATTTTCGATGGCCCAATGCAAAATGGAGGAGAGGTAAGAGACGCTGTTAATAGTAGTAAGGAACTTAAAACTAAATCAGATCGTACAACATTCGAACTCTGAGGGTAAGTAAATAATTGAGTATATAAATAAATAAATAAATCAACAAATAAAAATCTAGCCATTGCTAAACACATTCACAAGATCAGCTGAAAAGAACATAGACAAAAATTTGAAGTGGTAAAGAATTGTATAAACAATAAACAATGTGAACATGATTATATTGAGGGTGATAATCTTCTAGAACGTTCTCCGGGTCATCAACACATATGTAAACAGTGACGTGTACGCGGGCTTTTGCAACGTTGTTATCAATGAATGGACAACATCAGATTCATATCATCACCTTCTAGTAGGCACCTCAAAGGAAAAACGCAAGGATAGCAGCCTAGTTTATCAGCAACCTAACAGCTGGAAGCCTGATCATCAGCCAACGGTCAACAATCGGTTGAACCGCTTAACTGCAGGATATACTGATCTTCAAAGTAACGCCCACATCGTCTCATTTTGTAGAGTGTGAACGGACCCTTCCACTATGACTTGCTAAACGCAGACTAGACGGTCACAGCTATCACATGCCCCTATGAATTCCAGTGTTTGGTCAGCGAGGCGAGAAAAAGACCTCCAGAACCATTATGCTGGTACCTACAGAACGACAACGCACGTCGAAATTTCGCTTCAGACGCACGTCGAAAATTCACCGGTCTCGTTTGGTTTCAGGTTGTTCATCGGCCGAACTCCCGGAACATTGGCCTTTTGATTACCATAGGCTCTTCATTCCTAAGAATTCCTTTGGGAGGAAAACGTTAGTAACTTAATATGGTCTGAAAACGGCAGTCAATGATTTCGTTGAGTCATTACTTCCCGACTTCTGGACAGGAGGCATCAGAGATTAACTCAAAGGGCAAGGGAATGCTGTTGATTGTTCCGGTGACTACATTTCTAATATGAGAATTAATAATTCTAAAAATGAGTTTAAAAAGAATTTATTTTGTCGAAGACTTTTCTTCCCAACCAAATAACTGACCGAAAGAGAAAGCGATGAAAGTCGCTGTACTCACTCAATAAAGAGGAAGAGTTAGACTTTCAAAAGCCGTCATCAAACACGTCTCCGGAATGAGCCGTACGACGAATTTTCATTCAAAATCGCTGTAACGTTTGAGTGTGTATGTGATTTATACAATGGCTAGCCGTGGTCAGCCGATGTATAAGACAGTGATTTTTTTCTCCCATACCAGCCTAAATGGCATTCAAAGACGACGTGCTTGGCCTTGTGGGTGTAATAATATGAAACCTGATCCTCGGACTATGAGAACGTGTGGTAATGCGCCACTTGCCAGCACACCACCTCCACCCTACTTATTTCATATTTGGCGATTATAGGAATGTTTAATACTAACACAGATGCCGACAACAAGATCAAGCAGTCATTTCATGAGAACAACAGAGGGATACAACTAAAAATAATTGAATTAAGTTCTGAAAGAGGGAAGCGCTTAGAAGTTGAGAGAAAGGAGCTTTCCTTACTAGGCGAAAAATCTGTTTCGATGAACGAGCTATATACGGTGTTTAAAAGGTCGACAACGGTGTTTTGAGAAGACGGGCTACATTTTCTACCAATTTTTTTTTNTTTTTTTTTAATTTGACGTTTAATGTATGAGAAATTCACATCTTTATCGATGCAGTCCTCTTTCCCTTTCATGGTATTTGGCTGCACAACTTTCTCTTAGATTTTTGTAAGCTTCAACATTGGTGAAACAAGAACGGCGTCAGGAGATGTACAGAGACAAACTGGTAGTGATATCAATCTCCCGATCGACACTAAAGCATACAAGAACTTCAAACCAAAACCATCTAAACACCGTCGCTCTATGGGTGAGCTCACAAGGAATGGATCGTACCCGCAAGGAAACGTTTTTGAATGTCCCATTTTAGTGCTGAGGATTGGATTGGAAACATTTCCATGAGCAACATAGTTTGAGGCTAAGCAAGAGCGATTTTGGGTACTGAAGAGGATCATGTAAACAGAATACCTAAGAGTACGACAAAATAATTGACTCTGCGACCATTTCATCTACCTCAAAGGCCTGTGAAATATCGGAAGGAGTGAAATGTTCATTAGCAGAATCGAATAGAGTAGTACAATCGAATGCAATGAAGGAGATGTGAAGACTCGTAGTTCTAAGCGACAGCAGAGGTAAAAGAAGTTATGGGATAAGGTATTCATTATCAACGTTCAAAGACTAGGAACGCTGTTGTACTTTCTATAGCACTGGAGTGGCGTTCTGCGGGGTTAAGGACCAAAATAGCCAAGTACATGCAATGTAGTGATAACCGTTAGACTGTTTGAAGACCAGACATTTCGGAATACCAAGCATAAAAAGTGATGGAGAGACTCCTAAAGTTGATCAATCCCATTTCTGGATGCGCCCCGTATACAAGTTCTATTCAGAATCGCGTCGCGTTATGAAGTGGCGTTCTGAATGTGTATTCAGCTTGTACAATGATCTTCGATGGCTAGCCAATGCTCTCATCCACCTATACGAAAACCTAATCAAATAATTGACCCCGAAGGATTTAAAAACTTGGTTGGGCGAGAATCGATCGGGGATTAGGAGGCCGTCCCAGGCGTGATAGTATAAGCATAGCTGCGCCATCTGACACAACACAACCTCCGCTCCGACACCAAAAACAGATCTGGGCTTACACCTGCCTGACTGGAGTTCAGATATACTCCTTTTCGCGAAGATTCATTTAGGGTCTTGGGTCCGTAGCTTCTGTGAGCCTACTAGATTATTCTATCGACTTGATCCCACAACCTCACGACATAAACGGATGATGGCATTGTTGAAGCTCGAAGGAAGGGAACAAATGGACAGAATTGCAAATAATTAAAATTATTTCCGCTAAATTCGATGTTTCCTGACTCGCGACCGGAATTTCTTATTCTTCCCACTGCTAAATATTAAACAGTTTCAGTTGGAATATTATGAAAATTGTATTCCGGCCACAGTACCGCCACAGTCAATTGTCATATTCCCATATCAAAATGAACATGACTTTCCCATTAGTCATTTCAACAGTCAGCACCATTGAAGCAATAGGAAGACCTCCAAAGTCAAAAAATGAAATTTTAAAACAAACTAATAGTGAGAAAATGACAGGGATTCAAACAGTGCGGGAAAAAATGCAACAAAAAAGTAAACTGAACCCCAAAAACTCTCTATTACCACCATAATCGCTGCAATACGAATTACTACTGATGTGAGCCTAAAGAATATGGTGGTAATGGAGAATATGACAGAATCGCAACTACTAAATTGCCTCCGCAAGCGTGACATATCCGTCACTAAGCCTGCGAATTCAAAGCCCGACATACGCCATGTAACCGGTCGCCATATCTGACCATAAACAGCTTCTGCGGCTTCTTATTTAGTTATTATAGCTTCCCAAAAAAAAGGAAAATTCTCTCATAGGAATGCTCACAATTCAATACAAAATCCAAAAGGAAAAATCCCTCATAGGGTTGCTGTCGACAATCCGTCCTGTGCACCCGAATCTCATCTACCGGCCATTTCACTTTCCCTTTTTATTTTTTTTCTTCGAAATCTAGCTGGCCGTTCTATCTAATCAACACTTCCGCCCAGCTGACGGCAATCGGGCGAACATGGCCAAATAAACCGGCAACATTTCGCGAACATGACGAATTTTTCTCACAACCCTTTGAAATCTGAGCTCCTTCATGCAACTTACGAGAGACCTCCGTTACTTCCTTTCCTCCCTATCCCCTCAGGAGTTTTGCCAGTTTTCCTTTTGCATATGACTAGTCGCACTTATTTTGACAAGATTTCTTTTTGACGGACTTTTATTTCGCCCAACCCATGGATGTCTGACATATNTCTGAACCTTCCTATTCGAACAGCGTTCCAAAGAGTGACGCCATGTCGGCCCTAAGACGGTGGAAATGGATGAAGGTACTTAATCTTCCGTCAATGCTTGAAACCTCATCCACCTACGAATATTACTGACAACCATAAAAAGGTTATGGAACCCAAAGTATGCAACCCTCTTGATACGACAGTAAAAGAACAGTTCAACAGTTCGGTGCTGCTACTAGAAGAGAATGGTATTAAATAAGTAAGATCAGAGGTAGGGATGAGTTAAAGAGAAAATCGTCAAGTCCAGTCGCTTTCACATTGACTTCAATTCCTGAGCGAAAAGTCCGACTCAATCTCTTTTCCAATAGAAACACTTCGCTTTGGATAGTATCTTCAATCTTCCTTCTGATAGAAATACTTTGCTTTGGATAGTACCTTATAAAGCAATACAGAACCAGTTATCTAAAATGGTTCATTAACAGAATCGATAACATAATTCTTCAATCGCATCAATCAGAATCGATTTCTATCTAACCGTAATATGCAAGAAGTGAGGAAATTCAAAAGGCACCAGGAATATCAACAATTATGATTTTTTCATCAAAAAAAATCTGTGCAAAAATTGAAACCTATATTGAAGCATAGAAAACGGGTAGCAAAAATGAATACAGTACGACATTGTGCATTGGTCAGTTTACAAAGAGTAGATAAATATAGGCCAAAGTTGATTACAAGCACCTTTTAAGGGATAATAATGCAGAAATCAAGAAAGTTCAGATACATCATGCTATCAGTACAAGAAAGGTAAAAGATGAAGCTTTTCTATGGGAAAAAATGGCAAAAAATGGAATGAGTTTGGAAAATTTACAGTTTATCCATAGGTGATCATCAATTTTTCTTTTCTTGCTTTTCTGGACGATCCAAAATGATTACTCCTAATTCGTGGGTTTTTGGCACGAATACGTTGAACTGTGGCAATGTGATCGTTTCGCCCAAATCGCTGTTACAATAGTGTCGGATCTGAACATTCGGAAGGGATCAGTAATTATCAAATCCACATGCATGGCTTTCTGAAATTGTTCCGAAGAATGAAACCTAGAACAAGAACTGAACGCCCTGGACTAAACCCTCTACCTCCTGTGCTCTGAATTTGATTCGTAGAAATCCTATGATTCCATTTCCCAAAAATCTTTCTGATTTCAAAATTCAAGTATACCATAACCAGTGGATTCTGAATCTGGTGGAACCCAAAACTGAAATTACTTAGTAACAAGTCTGGTTGCAAGAAAATGACAATTATCTCATTTTGTACGTAGTTATAACACTTGGGTGATCTCAAATCTCGAGTCTCTGAAAACATGGCTTTACGAAAGTACTCACCTCTACATATGGCTCGGGTTTGTTTGAAAGTCCCGGAATCCAGTCAAAATCATCGCCACAACCGTCCAACTGGAAACGGCCGTCTTCCGTTGAAAATGTCACACTGGAAAGGGAAATTTATGGTCATATTTAAATGCAAAAAGGACAGCCATCCACACATATTACATGACTCAAATTTTAGACAATTATACTTAGGGAACACTCTCTTCTGGCCTATTCATACCCGAAGTGATTGTGGGGTTTGGGTAGGGTAAGAAACGCAGGCTGATCGACAGCCTCTCATTTCTTTCCTATGAGTTTTTTTCTCGCTTTTTCATTTTTCCTTCTAAGTAATCAGAAAAACAATTTGGTCCTTATCATCATCGATCGAAAGATGGCGTGTTCTAGTTGACGATTGATGCGGGCCAACAATGGCTCGATGATCTCGCGTTAAAACTTCAACGATCGCTATCAATTCGACAATGAAATAAATCCGACACCAATGACCATTGTCAGGAAAGACCTGTCCTGGTGAAACACAGCGATGCTGAAAGGGTGGGAATAAAACGAAAAAGGGATCGCCAAAAGAGGGAAAATGGAGAACACTACAGGAAGTTCAAATAAACAATGTTAACGCAATACTTTTCTGAAATCAAAAACAGTTGGCACACCCAGCAAAGCTCATCGACGATATTTTTTGAGATCTTACTCTCTGAAATCAGAAGACTCTGAAAACAAAAAAGCTTCTGAGATTAGGGAAAAGCTGGGACTGCTCAACAAATGACGTAGGATGGTAGGCGAGATCTTCAATCTGGGATTCACCCCCTCCCTTACCACCACTAATTCGTTGAAAATACTAAAAATAACAAACGAGTCTACAGATCAAGCAGCCAAAAATGCATTTTATTGTAAAACATTTTTAGGAGGTCGTTCGAGCGATTCACCATGGATACAGCTCTCGTTAGGTATCCATGACAGAGCAAACCATCCCGGAATCCCAGCTAGAATTACGTATATAAGAGGGGAAGAGGGGGAAGGAGATTGGGAGGGAGATGAATTAGGCCTTATCGAATGAGAAACTGTGAGGAATGTGACCGAGTCAATAGAATAACAATTTTTGAAGCACAATTAATTTGCTTTTTCCCCAATTCTCTGTGAATGCCGAATAAAAGTGTTTTAGGGTCCATTATCGTCTTGAAAACTATTTCCCTTCTCCAGTCCAGTTTTCCCTGTCCTCGACTTTCTGTGCTTTTCCCACTACTTACACAACTTCAAAGGATCTCAGGTTTTACGCTCATTAAGGCACGCTTCCTGAAAAAAGGTGGCCTCCGGGTTTTCCAACAAGGACGAACCAGTGGCTCCCAAATGTGCCATATGTTGCGCTTTTGGGTCGAAAAACGAATAGATAGGGCGAGATAAGGTTCAAAGACCGGCTTCGCCCATGACCACACCATACCAAGAGGCCCAAGAGGCGTACTAGCTACAAGGGTGTTACAAAGGCTGGGCCATTCACATTGGGCACACGAGGTGGAAAATCAAACTAGTCGCGAGTCAGCGACAGCAGAAAGTACTTTTTTCGCTATATGGGCTTACACTGTCAGCCCTTTAGCAATCGCGCACGACCGAATCTCGTCCAAATGCCTCTTCCATAACAACTCCATCATGGTTATTTCGTAAAAGCCCTTATTTTCACTAAATTCAAGAAGATTTGCACGATATTACCATGGTGTTTTGAGCATATCGCGGATTTTCTCCGCCTTATTCGCAACCAACGCTTCCTTCTCCACCTACACTCCTTTTTAGCTCAGAAAAGGTGCCTCGGAATTATCGTGAACTGCGTCTTCAGAGAAATATATGTGAATGCGATTTCCAATCCGTTTCTAGGCTCTTGCTTTTCATTTCGGTGACTACTTGAGATCAACCATCATGGCAAGTCGTCGTAAGAATTGGATGCAAGTTGAGATGCCT